GCTCCCTCTGCTGGTTTACAGCAGCCTGTTCGGCTAAAGCTTTGCTGATAGCCGTCCTTATTACTTCCGTAAGCTGATCTACATCCATTCTACCTGATGGTGGGAGAACTGCACAGTCGGAATCTGAGTCGCTAGACTGCCTGCGAGGGTTTCTCTATTGGTTGAACCGAGACATGCGCAGGTCAGTGGTCGCGAAAAATAAAACGGGCCGTCAGAAGATGGGTCGAATTACGTCGCAGTTCTGAACTACGAGAACTGCATGCACAACTTCAGACACACAGAAAGTAACACAATGTAATTTTATTGACGATCTGAATGATCAATTGCTGCCACTAAAATTCCCAAAGTAGTCACTCTCACTTGGTTCTGATCATTAATTTTTTTTTTTTTTACATGCAATTGCAATATAAAATACTCGCTAGTCCTAGCTATTTTTTTATAAAATAAATTTTAACACTTTTTGTGTTTGAAGAAAAATTTTGGCTAGAGTATCCACTTACAAGATTCAACTAACACAAAACAAAAAAAAAATCCCTTTATAAGATCTGTCAATTGCAGCTCCCGCGCTGCTGTCTTAATTGTTGTTGGTTGTGGAGTCCGCCCCACGTTGGGCGCCAATTATATAGTTTCCAGTCCTGTGGTGACTGAAAGTTAGGTTGAGAGGCGACTGTGCCTCTTATTGCTGGCCTCGGGCTCAGACAATGAAATAAGCCATTTAACGAGCAAATGACGGAGTGAATATTTATTTAAGCGGTTTACTGGAAGAACGCTTTTTTATATATACATATGTGTGTGTTAGAGTAATTGTACAATTGGATGCAAAGACATTTGAAAGCAGTTGAACTGAAGCTGTCGAGATGCATTCACAATTTGGGCATCCTTAATGCATCTCCGATGGGCCATAAATTGTGACTGGGCTGTTATTATTTTGGGCATGGGCACGCAGAGCTTGAGGGCACTTCAGAGCCGAAATGCTGGTATGTGGAGCAGGTGCGCCGGCGACCTCAGCATGGCCTGCTGTGGCTCAATGGCTGTTATGCAATATGGTCATAAGTGTGGCACGCCCTCCATTTGCTGTCACATTGTGGCATAAATTGATTTGCCACGATCTCCGGCTAAATGTGGATTTATGAAAGTCACGCAAAACCCAATCGCATTAACCATAACGCTTCGCCCACAAACTGGGCAAAAAAAAAAAACAATTTGAGTAATTATTGATCGAGTTAATGCGCATTTATAAGACCTGCTGGCGGCAGCAAAAGTCAAACAGTTACTCGACTTCTCTCACAGCTCAAACATGTCTCGCGCATTCCTCTCACTAATCTCAACTCTTTTGCTGCTGTCGCCCACCTGGGCTGGCATTAGCTACCTGGCCGATGAGCATGCCGTGGCGCATACCCAGCAGAATGTGGTCAGAAGCTACGACGGCACCGTCTCTCACTATGCCAAGTCCGTGGCGACGCCCTACTCCCAGGTGCACAAGCTGGACACACGCATCAGCAACAATGTCTATCAGCCAGCCATAGCCAAGACTATCAGCTATGCTGCTGCTCCAGCACCAGCACCACAACAGCCTGCGTTCTATAGCCAGGCTCCAGTCTACCATCAGCAGCAGCAGCAACACATCCCAGCTGTCCAGACCACCTACGCCAGCCACCAACCCTCTGTGGTGCACTATTCACCCGCCGAGGCAGTCTCCCACATGAGCTTCGATGGATTCGGCACTCACTGGGGATTCTAAATAATTTTAAGAGTTTTGCATTAAATAAAGACTTTTCTTTATATATGATAAGTATTTGCTTTTATGGGAGCCTATAAAATAATAAAATAAAAATAAAATAAAAAATAATAATAAAATACCTCATCTTCCAGCTGGGGTACAGCTAAAGGCCTGAAATCTGAATTCTCATTGAAAAGATCATTTCAGGAGAAGGTGGTGTGGCAGATCAGAATGCTGAGCTAAGTCCATATAGCCAAGTCGGTCTGTCTATATAGCACCTCAGTGCAGGTAATTCCTAGTCGAACACTCCCGACTAGAACCCTCTTAATTGCTTCTACTCAATCACATCCAGCTCTTATTCATCCACCTAACAATATCTAAACTATAAACCATAATAAAACTCTTAATGTGTTATTTAATAATCGTAATCTAGTTTTTATCACAGTTCATGCTCAGAGTCGGAGCTTTCGCCTCACGTCCTCGAGTTGCTGTATATAAACAAATCATAAAAGCTGCACACAAAGTGCACACACTACAAATAGCCTGAAGTAGGACATTAGCTTGGCTCTTCTACCACTGCCACGCCCATCAACTAACGCCCAATCTCTAACCACAGCGAAGCAGGAGCCTGAATGGTCGGGTTACGTGATTTGTGCAGCGCAAACTTAAAAATCGGACATGAACGCGTTACGTGACTCGCATGGCAAGTGATGGCCGAAGGAGTGGGAGACGGAGGTGGAGATGGAGATGGAGTCGGAGCGAAGGACACAGCATCAACTGAACTAATCGGATTTTTTTATGCGCGCTCAGTGAGTGAAATGGGTATATGGTGTTGCTATGGAAGCTGAAGAGTTGCAAAATTGAATTGCGAAAAAATAGCTGAAGGTGGATAGAGTGATAAAGATCTAGATCTGTATAACATAAAATACCTTTAAGCAATGGAATTGATAAAATGTGTATTACTTTATAAGAAAATCAAAGTTTTTGAACTAATAAGTTTGCTTAATGATCGATAATAATTCATTAAATCAATAGTTCTTTATTATTATCGACTGTAGACTGAAAAGCGATAAAATCAAAGATCTCGATGCCACTTCATAAGAAATCGATATTTGTACACTTAAATGATTTACTAAAGATCGATTATAATTGATAATTTCATGTTACAAGTTCATATAAAAAGTTTCTTAACAGCTCAATTATAATCGATATATTCTACAATCGATTCATTTATACCAAAGAGCTCATCTAAAGATCGATTATAATCGACAACTCTTTACTTTCATTCATTTCAACTTCTTCTCGCACTGCAAGCGAGTATTTCGTCGTCATGTACTCCCGGACCGCAACATCTTCACTTGCTTTTCTCTCTCAACTCTCAATCAGAAGTTTGCCTCGTTATAAATTATGCACATTGGCAATTGCAGGCAGCCTGGGAAAGAGGAAGAGATTCGAGCTGAGGTTCATAATCTATAAATTGAAATCACATTTTTGCTAGCTCATTAATTTCTTGCCACTTAGCTTGAGCCAACAAAGAGCCAGTAGTCAATTGCGTCTCGAAGTCTTAGCATAAATGATGGCTCCATTAGATCGCAATCAGCTGAATTGCCTCAGCGCAAAGGACTTCAAATGAAAAACTGCCAAAAAGAAAGGCTCAAAAACTGTGCGAATCACTTTTCGCTTGACTAGCCAAAAAAAAGAAGAAGAAGAAGAAAAAATGTTTTAGCTTGCAACAAATTGCAGCAAGACAAAATTTTGCGGGCATAAACAGCGCTTAAATGCAACAGTCAGCGGCAGCAGCTGCCATGTCCTGCCGCTGCTGCTGCTGCCTGAGGTCCTGCCGAGCCACTTGACTGCAAAAAAGGCGCAATGATAAAATATTTGCTGGCTAAAAACTTGCCAGCAAAGTGTGTTTGTTGTTGCGGCCAAAGTTGAGTGGCAACAGCCTCGCCTTGCGGCCCGCTCACGTCCTTTGGCTGCCCGTCGACAGGAAGTTGAAAAAAAAAATAAAAATGCAAAATGCCCAGTAAGACGTATTTATCAACATAATTACGTTTTTTAATGGCTTTTTAAACCGCAAAATGGCAAAGCCGCAAAATGCAGATAAAAGTGGAGCATAAGACTAGAAAATATAGTGGCTAAACAGTATTCGTGTTGTTGTTGTTTTACTGCTTCCACTGCTGTTGCTGACCCTTCTACACTGTCCTCATGCAAAATGTTTGCTAACTCAATTAGCCATTTCAGCGAATTGGCAGAGGCTGTTGACTTAAAGAACTTGTCTGTTGTGCTAATTATCTAACTATAACTAAGTATAGCTGAATATAACTAACTCTATATCTAGCTATTGCCATATTTGATAGACTGCAGTTCAGGCATTGCTTGTCACTGTCAGCCAAATTGCACAGTGCGCGCAGTTGCGATGAACACAGAATATCAATAAGCAACGAGTAAGAACAATGCAGTCGGGCGATATTGACTGCATAATACTCGTTCATAAGAGTAGCTAACTGTCGCAATGTGGAGTTCTAGCTCTAAGACTGAGGAAGATACAGTTTTATCTATATGGCCACGCCCGAATGGAGGTAGGTATATATGTCATTAAGGGCTGGTATAACGTTATCTACGAGTATGTATTGCAAATTCAAAGTACTTATCAGTTTATCTTTTATACCAGTTTTAGTATTTCTGAATTGGCCAAGCCCACCGTAAATGTATCTTTTTATAAGAGGAAAAATCAAGTCTGAAGCTTTAATTGCACAAACCCAATATACACCACTCACTTCGCGAACGAGTATAAAAAGCGCAGTGCAACGAAATGTATCTACAAAGAGTCTCTCGCTCCAACATTAACAAGAGCATGGTGATGCAGATCCAGAGAGTTTTTGCAAACATACATATTGAGCGAGTCTAAAAATAGATGCAACTCTTTGCAAAGAGAGGCGGAAGGCATTGAGAGAGAGAGCGAGAGAAAATTATATTTTAGTATAAGTATCATCGATAGATAATAACGTTGCGAATTTTATTATACAAAAGAAGAGAAGAGAGCGAGCAGGGGAAAGAGAGAGTGGGAGAGAGTAAGTTGGAGAGAGGGCAAGCAGCAACAGTTAGTAAACACATACTGCAGAGTCAACTGACCCGCACTCAGTTGTAGCTTGTGATTAAGAGCAATCGGTTCTACGTGTAGCGCTGGGAAACCCATGCACATATATAATTTCATATGTATATATATTTATATATATATATATAAAACAAATGGCATGTGTGCAAGCCAGTGCGTAGCATGTTAGTAATCGATAATACCCTGTACGGTTGGCTATGTGTGCTTATCTTGTTGATAACACAGCTCGATCAATCGCTGGCGTTTGGCGCGTCGCGTGTTGAGGCCTTCAAGCGGCGACTGCGTCGGCAAGTGGCGCCGTCTCTGCTACTCGATGACTACCTCGGCTACGATGGCATGCTGGATTACATGGAGCAGCTAGCCAAGGCGTACAGCGATCGCGTTGCTCTACAAGATGTGGGCGTCACGTATGAGAAGCGCCCACTGAAATCGTTAACGATAACGAACGGCGATGGGCGCGACGGCAAGAAGGCGATTCTACTCATAGCCGGAGCACATGCGCGCGAATGGCTGACACCTGTTGCTGCATTGTACACCTTGGAGCAGCTAGTGGTTAGGCATGAGGAGAATGCGCACTTGCTGCACGATTACGATTGGATTGTGATGCCACAGGTCAATCCGGATGGCTATATGTACTCGCGTAATGTGGACAAATTGTGGCGAAATACGCGGTCGCCGAACGGCTTCAACTGCTTCGGAACGAATATTAATCGAAATTACGATATTGGCTGGGGCCAGGGCTATGCCGAGCTAAACGATTCCTGCACCATGCACTATGCCGGCAGCAAGCCCTTCTCGGAACCAGAGACGCGAGCGGTGCGCGACAAAATGCTCGAATTGGTCCAGAGCAAACGTGGGATGCTGTTCATCACACTGCATTCGCATCACACCAGCATTTTCTATCCCTGGGTATACAAGAGGTGGGTATTACCCCTAAGTATATATTGATCTGTGCTAAAAGGTTTCGTCTCTTCATCTGCTAGTGACACAAGTGATAATGATAACGATTTGCATGATGTGGCTGAGGCTGGAGCCGAGGCCATTTTCAATGCAACTGGCACAAGATTCACCTATGGGCAGTATGGCAAGGAGGATACGTTTGGGGGCACCAGCTTGGACTATGCCTATTCGATAGGCTTTCCGCTTTCCTATGCATTCGAATTGTCCGGTGAGCGAGATGGACTCACCTTTGACTTTTGGCCACCAAAGAACCTGCTGAAGGACTTAGCTGACGAGTCTTGGGTTGGCATCAGTGCCATGGCCGAAAAAGCCATTGAACTCCAGTCTCCGGATAGACCTATAACTGTCGCTAAGAATAGCTCTAGCTCGTATAGCTTAGCTAATATGATGAAGATTATATTGCTTATGACGATTATAACGGTGCTCTCTCGCTAACCAGTGTTGGTTAACAACCTAAAAGTTGACTTAAGTCGTCCATTTTTAACTTTTTCATTTTCACATCGATGTTGTGCAAAGTGTATATACCATATATCTGAAATATATATATATATATTATATATATATAGTCTACAGTCAACTGAAAATCACTAAGTTACTTAATTTATATATTTTTAATTTTATAATAATACAAGCATTAAGATATCGAGATTATGATAAGTGAATAGATATATATAAAATATATATAAATATTTTATTGTACACTTACTGGCATTTTTATAATACCTTAGATAACCCAGTGTCAATGAGTCTATCAGTGATTCTGTCAGTCAATCCATCAATCAGTTGAAAAGATTGTTACAGTTTAAAGTTTGTCAATCAATCAACGCATCAGTTATCTGTCTGTCAGTTATCTGTCTGTCAGATATCATCATCAGTCAGTTTGTAATTCAGTCAATCAGCCAATCACAGTCACAATCAGTCAGAGCTAGTTAATTAGTAAGAAATTACTGATAAACTGACTTACTAACTTTAGTCAGTCAATCAAAACTGTTGTCTTTATCTTATTGATTAACGGACTTACTAACTTTAGTCAGTCAATCACTGAGACAATTAATTAATCAGCTATTAAGTTCTTCAATCCATCAATCGGCAAGGCTGTTAGTCCACCACCATCAGTCTATCAATCGTTAGCCAATCAGTCACTCAATCAGCCAATCAGTAAGTTTGCCAGTCAATCAATTAGCCAATCAGTGACTCAGTCAGTTTAACAGTTCATTGATTTCAATCGTATATATTCCATACACTATATAATAATTAATAAATAAATAAATAAATTTTCATTTGTTCAGTAATATTTATATATATTTGTTCATAACGCAATCTCAATTTAAAGACAGTTCTTTAATAATTTTTCTGTTCTCTACCCCATTTGATTGTTCTCATTTATATCAATTTTCAGAGCAGTTGGCGCCTTAACCGAAATATCTGTTGACTCGCATTTAAAAAATAATTTTAAATCCACAGCAGAGCCAGGCTGAGTTTGCTGTTACTCACGTGTCTGGCAAATACACACACACACATCCACGCACAAGCTCACACACACACACACACACAGAGAGCGGAGCCTTACTCATTGAACGAAAAGCTCGCATTACTCATACGCCGCGTTGCTCGCGTGCTATTCGCTTGTTTGCGCTGGCTATCAACGTGACTTGGCTGTTGAGCACTGGGCGGTCTCCGTATCTGTTTCGGTCTGTGCTATCACTCGGATTGTCTGATACATTTCACATGCTGCAATTAACGCAACAAATTGCATTTTTAATATGCGCAAATTAATGTGGAAAATCTTCCATTTCTGTTGCCTCTTTTTTTGTTCTTCTTCTGCTGCCGGCAGCCAGAGTTTTATTTATAACAGTCATTGCGAAAATTGAAAATGCACAATTAAAAGCACGCCTATGCCATACATCTATATATGTGTGCACACATATCTATAAGGATGTGTGTGTGTGTGTCTGCAGCTCGCTTTGGGGCGCCGCTCGCTGACCCTTTTTAAAATAATATGATAAAATGCCATTACAAAAGTCAAAGTTACTGTAGCAGCCTCGGCTCGACTGCAGGAAGCAACTGTTAATTAGTTTTTTGCGAGTGCAGTCCTTCAGGACGAGGCTCTGCTTTGGCAGCTATCCATCCCCCGTTGTTGTTTCACTGTGCAAATGTTTTAATTTCCGCACGAATGTCTCTAACGGAAATTACATAAAAAAAGAAGAATATTTATATAAAGAACAGATAACTTGCCGCTGCGACCCACTGAACGGCACTGTGCGTCCAAAACAATTAGCATACTCGTTCCTGCTCCATGCACACTAAAAGAAAATAACTAAAGAAATAAACGCTCACTACGTGCTAATCGCAGCATTAGCGTGCAAGTGTTTCGTTACAGCGGCTTATTGAATCTCGATTAGATAAGAAAACTATAGCACTATATGCCTCTGGCTTGAGTCGCTTCAGTTCAGTGTGCGAAATGCTGCTGATCGCAATTGTTGTGCTGCTGCTGACAGTCGCCAGTCTCTGCCATTGGCGCCAAAGGGGCAGGCGGGCGGCAGTTGCCAATCTGCCGGGTCCTTATTGCTTTCCACTAATTGGAGCCTTGCATCGCGTCATCAATCTGAATCCCAAAAGTACGTATCAAGTGAAATGTGCAGCAAAGTCCAAAGTGCAGTTCCAGCCGTTTTACACTGTTTTAATTATCACAAATATTATATAGAAATGTGCAAAACAGCTGCTATACAAAACAATTCAATATTGCTTACAATTCATTCAGCTGTTTATATGGCCTAATAAACTATAGACTATATATATAGATATATAGACTTTAGATGTTATGGATTGTTCCATTTGATAAGCTCTAGTCCTTCCGAACTCGTTATGTATTTGCTGTGCATATGAGAAATTCTTTCTTAAAAGTTGTAGAGAAATATGATTGTTTGATGCCTTTAATATTGTTGTATGCAGCAGCCAGCATCACTATCAGCAGCTTTATGGAACAGGGACAAGAGATCGCGGCCATTGGCGCTGTTTCGTTCGTTCTTGTGCGCATTCATTATCTAAGGGGTTCGTAGCACGGGTATAATTAGTATATCGTTGATATAGAACAGATATCTTGTATATAACTTGTCTGTTCTAATTACATATATTATATATATTTTTTATACATATAGTGTTGCCAGGCAATAAAACAGCTAAACTGAACTTTATACAGCACTTTTAACATATTTGAACTTAGCGCGAAGTTACTCTATTTATTTCTAATAGTATTTAGTAGTTCTAGTTGTCGTAAAAGTAGTCAAGCGCTAAAATATAATAATTTTTATATATTATATTTGTATACTTCATTCATTCCATTTTCAACTCATGCAAGCAGAAGAGTTTACAATGTTGTTAAAAATCAATTATAAATTCAAATAATCCATATAGTATTTTTATAGTTCCAGTTAGACTTGTTCAGGCCAAAGATCATGTCTATATGTAAAGAAAGTTAAGTTAAACAAGTATGAAAGCTATAGTCGGTGTGTTCGACTAGGAGATACCCAGCTGTTATCCATAATTATTGAAGGGCCTTAAATATAGGTATAAACATATACTAAATAAAGGTATATAGTAAATATAGGTTTAAATATTAATATCTTAATTGTTATACATTTTTTACTTTTTACTATTTTTTTTAAATTTATTTTATAAACTTTTACTATTTTTAAGAGAAATTACATATTTTTACTAACAAAATTCTAATACATAAAAGATTATTCAGCAAACATTTGTTTGCTATTATCATTGTTATTTATTATATTAAATCTATGAATATATATATAATACATTTAGACATTCTTGTTCTTAAATATATATATATCTATACATATATATATTAAATATATATGTACAAGTATATAATGTTATAAAAATTAAAATTAAGAGAAGAGATTCTCTTCCTATGACAAACATCAAAATCACTTTGAAAATAACTTAACTCTTTCATAAGGAGTTAATAAAATTAAATGCTCTTAAACATTATTTCTTATAAAATATATAATTATTTCTTATAAAATATAATAAGAGTAGGTAATTAACAATTTTAAAGAGAACAAGGCATTACGAAAATGATCATGAGAAAATCATTTTGCTAATGATCATTAACGTTAATGATAATTACCAGTAATAATCATGAACATAAATGATCATTACTCCGAATGATCATTATTGCTAATGAACATTACAACGAACATCATTATTATAATAACAATTAGTGCTTATTAATAATAAATAACATTTAAATAATTATTAAACAATTAGACAATATTCCAAAACAAAAAAAACTTAAATATATATTAAAATATTTATTTAAACAAATACAATATTTATTAAAGAATACAATTTATTTAAACTTAAACAATTTAACAAAAAAAACTTAAATTTATTCACCATTCGCACTGCACTGCACAACGACTGACCTGGTCCAGGTCATAAACTTGACTGATCGCCGCAGCCGCTGCTGCGCCCTTTTATACCTGAAAGTCACTCAAAGGGCCACTGCAGCAGCGCTGCTGAGCGCTTTCTGAGTGAGAATTTACACTCATTTTGAACTAAGTTGGCGGCAGCAGACAAGGAGAAATGACGATCGGGAATTTGTATACTGCATATATACGTGAATCAACATGTTTTTTCTTGCTGCTGTTGAGCACATTTATTACTTTTTTACTCATTTTACATGATATAAAAGACAAACAAATATATGCAACTATATAGGCAGATACTGATTATGCTGATCATATATTATTTCATATATGGTTATACATATATAGTGATATATATATATATATATATATATATATGAGTATATATAAAAATTATATATAAAAAAATAATAATAATGAAAAATAATATATATGTACTATATAGATATAATATATCTATATATATAGATATATATATATATATATATATATATATATATATATAGTACATATATATTATTTTTCATTTATTATTATTTTTATTTTATTTTTATTTTTATACTTTGTCTCAACTTAAGGCTGACGAACAAATGCACAAACACCTTACTGATTCCATTATTACTGTTTATACATATTTATATATATTATTTTTAGTAGCTGCATTTGAAACAAACTAGATATATGCGTGCTATACACGGACTTTCAAAAAGTATTTTAAGTCTCAAGCTCTTATAGATGGTGAGATCAGACAGACAGACGGACAGGCCTCAATAGACTCTGTTTAACGCCCTGATCAAGAATATATATACTTTAAGAAGTCTGTCACGCCCTTTAAAATAATTCGATTTTCCATTTTCTCTACCTAATTGTTTGCGTACTGCCCTGCTGGCCTGTTGTCCACTTGATGGCGTCAGTAGGTGGCCAATAATCCCAAGTCCCTGCATGATCATCCACTTCTGCAAGTTCACATTGACTTGCTCAAGTGTAAACAACATATTTCTTTCAATGAAGCCTTATCTAAATAACATCTATTATTAGAGCT